CCCCCCCCACACCTCCCCCGCCCCCACGGGCCGAGGGCCTTTACTCAGCAGCTGCCCTGCCTCTGCGACCCCCGCCCCCCCAGCCCCTCCTGCACACCCTGCTTTACTTCCTCCTTTCTCCAGTATTTACTAGCATCTAAGAGGACCTTTCTTCTTTCTTTCTTTGTTCACTGTCTCCCTCACTGGCTTGGAGGTTTCAGAGGGCTCGCCTCCAGTTCCCAGCACAGCAGGGTAGGGTAGGTGCCCCTGTGAGGGGGAAGAGACAGCAAGGATGGAGGATCGCAAGGAGGAGAAGCCGGGTGGAGGGAGAGGGCGGTGAGTCTGGGAGGGGACCCACTGGTGGGGAAGAGCCCCAGGCCGCCTTCTCCCCACTGAGAACCTGGGGTGCTCAGGAAGCATCTGCTGATGGGATTAGCCTGGAGTTTCATCAATGGCGTGAGGGTTTCATTGATCAAGTCCTCGCTTGGGCGCTAGCGAGGGGACTCTGCCGCCACCTGCTGGGCGTCTGGAGAAGCGGCTCACAGTTACACACGGAGCCCCTCCCACTGTCCAGGCTTTATAAATAAATACCAACAAGGACTGAAATAGCAACAGCTGTGGCTTATTAAATGCCTCTATTGTCAGACAGTGTACCAGGTACTTTAAAGACATGGTGTTTTAAATTTATTTGTTTATCACAGAGAGCGCGAGAGAGAGACAGCAGAGAAACCTCGATGGGGTCTCAATGTCATAATCCACCCCAGGCCGGGCCAGGCCCCTCTCATAGGCATGTGTGTGCCTGGCGTACTCAGAGGAGGCTCCAAACGTGCAGCCTCAACCTGCCCACGAGGGCTGGCCTTGCAGGGCATTGAGTTTTACCGCTGGGTCACCGTCTAGCCTCTGAAGACACGAAGCTTGGACATCCAATCGCCTGCCGTGTGGCTGGTGCTCTCGTCACGCAGACGAATGGGGAAACTGAGGCTCAGAGAGAGAAGGGACAGCGTGGCCTAGGTCACACAGCTAGTGAAGGACCAAGTCTGAAAGGCCAGTGGGTCTCGTGGGTCTCGAAGTGGAGCTGAGCAGTGACCTGGAGGAAGGCAGACAGGGAGGGCACACCCGCTCCCGAAGCTTCCCTCCAGGTCCCGCACTGTCCCCGGTCTTGCTCTGAGCTCCCTCAGGCTGTCCTCTCTGCGCCCACCCTTACCCAGAATCATGGCTGGGGAAACCGAGGTGTTCGGGCATGGAGAACCAGAGCATGGCCTTCTGGGAGAGTGGGACACGGGGGGAGGGGAGTGATCAAGTGAGAGCCCAGGTGGGGAGCCCTGAGCGCGTAGTAAGCCCTCGGTAAATGAAGGACCCCACGGACATGTGCCAGCCATGCCGCAACGCCCCTTCAAGGCCAGAAGCAGGCATTGCGTGATGTGTCTGCAGAGCGGGGGAAACCGAGTCACCGGGTCAGGAAGTGCCTGGGCCCAGGCTATAGCCTGAGTCACAGCCCTGATGCTGGGAAGCTTCCCACAGCCCCCTCCAGAAGAGCTTCCTCTCACTCCCTGCCCCTCTCCCTGCCTGCTGCACCAGCCAGGCCCTGTCAGAGGGGTCGCCACAGCCAGGGCAGCCTGCCTTGCCCTTGAAGACAAACGCCGCTCCCCTTAGCCCCGGCAGTAAGAAGCGAGTCCACATTGGGGCTTTCTGTGACCTGGTGAATGCCCGACGCTCTCAGATGCACTTCACAGCGAGAAGGCCGAGGCTTTGGGGGGGCCAGGGGCTGTGCCGGGGTCACTCAGCCATGCTGGGGCAGAAGCCGGAGCTCACCCCTCGCGGCACCGTCAGAGAGCGCTCTGGGTGGCCGGCTGCCTCCCCTAGCTCGGGGATCAAAGGCAGCAGGAAGCCCTTCCCATCCCGACTTCCCCAGAACTGGGACACGCTTTGACGTCAGCACGTCCACATTCCTGCCCTCCAGCCCCGGGGTGGAGGCACTGGTTTCCTCACTCCGGTGTTGGCATCACAAACAGGAAGCCATCCTGTGGGTGGGTCCCAGCCCAGGGCATCGGGCTGGGATGATGGGGTCCGATGCAGGCACCAGTTCCCTACCCGGCCTGGGACACCAGGCCTTGTCCACTCAACCCCGAGGTGTCCCTCGGGATCGCACTGCCCGGGAGCTCGGCTCACATGGACGCCCACAGAGCTCACCGGTCAGACCAAGGCCCGGCCAGCCGGCCGGGCTGGGCACGCGCTTTTCCCATTAGCTTCTCATAAGCCACCCTCTCCTCGTCCTTCGAGAGAAGACACAAAAGGTCAGGCCCGTTAGTCCTGCCGGAAGTCTTGCAGCCGTGGGGTGGGCAAGAAGGGCGACGGAC